GAATAGGAATGATTTCCGGGTCTTTTTTATTTGAAAATAGTATTGCCAGTGTAGGAACTGCTTTTTCAGGTCAGTAAGGACATAGCCAATGTAATATATTCATGATACATATTGTACTTCTGTATCAACTAATGTGTATAGTTGGCCTAAAAAAGTTAATGGGACTTCTGAAATTGCTTAAGACCATGACCTTGTTTCAAAAATAAAATTACACAGTGTCACATAATGAGTCCCATTTATCAAGCAGCTTAAGAATAAGCACACTTGCAAGGACAGAGTGATACCTATATGATAGGCAACTTGGAAAGAATGCCAAGCTGTAACTCAGTTCCTAATTCCATGTCTTCAAAATCCTATACACACACACACATACATATGTTTGATTACATATTAGTAACTGTTGCCGCTTAGAGTTCTATGCAAGGATTCATCCAAATGCATTTTGATAATCTAATTTAAATATTGTCTAATTTGAAACAATGTGACCAAATTCCCAGAGCAAGTCAGTGATATTGTGACATGTCAAATCCAGGGATGCCTGTTGCCTAGACCATGCAGCTGTTCTAACCAGTCAACATTTCCCTTCTCAAAAGTCATTTAAATTTAGAAACATAAGAAAATAGCAGGCATAAAGGATGTGGGGGAATAGAAAGCATATTTAAAAAGAAAAAAATTACTTTTTGATCTTACTTGCCAAGGAAATGCATAAATTTCATTTATCTTTTTTTTCTAAACATGTTTTTACATAACTATGACTAAATGTATGTATTAACCATATTCTTCTTTTCCGTGGCAAATCATCATAAATAATTTAGTGGACAAATGGCACTTTATGGCAATGCCATGTATTACTTAACAATTGGAATTTGCATTTTTAAAGTAAAAACAAAAGAATATGAATGTATTTGGCATATCACATATCTTTTTAGGTATTCATTTTAATTACTTAAAATGTATTCACTCATGTAGAACTGCTGGGCCACATATGAGCAATTTTAAAGCTTTTTACTCACATTGTCAAGTGGGTTCCTCAAACACTTGCGAAGATTTATATTCCCGTTAGCAAAACACAAGAGATGTCACTTTACTGCACATTTGCCATCTAGTATTATTATAACTCTCAAATATTTAATATTTTTGCACATAACTCTCAAGCCTTTTGATTCAAAATGTCAACAGTTATGAAGTCCAGGTATTTAAAATATCTGGATTTCCTACATGTCATTCATACACAATCTAATAATCTGCTAAATAGTTTAGAAAACTTCTGATTGCTCAATAGAAAATTATATATTCTATAACCTATTGAATATAGAGTCTCTGGAAAACAAAAATGTAATTTTCAATTCTAAAACACAATAGTCTCCAAAATATGTTCTTAGCCAAAATGAGAGTTGAATTAAGAATGTCCTTAGGGCCCTCCCTGGTGGCGCAGCAGGTTAAAGCACAGCACTAAGAAGCTAAAGCCACTTCCACATGAGTTCTATCCCCACCTGCCCCGGAGGTGACCACATTGCTCAGCAGACCTCTCCTGACCCGCCCTCTGCTCCCCTCAGCAGTGTACTTCATAGATCTGCCTGCTCTGCTCCCTGCTCTGTCTCTGGTAAATCCTCTCACCCTCCACATCTCTGGCCTGTACCCCAGTTCTGTATGAGTAAATAAAATCTTTTAAAAAAAAAGAATGTCCTTAATGTCCTAAATGGACATTTTACAGTAAAGATTGAACAATATTGTAAGTTCTATTTCTTACCTTTTAGTCATTTTCTAGAATCATGATCAAAGGATGTCTCTATAGTTTATGTTTTGAGAGTGCCAACGCATTCTCTTCCACTCTCCCTTAAACAGACTGTTTTGTTGAATGATTTGAAAATGTTGTCGTAAGTTCATTTTGGGGAATAGACATTTTATCAAAGCCCAATACACATAAGTTGTATAATGAACTATACAGAGGAGCTTGCTGTTTGCTTTGCTGGTATCCTAGAAGTTATGCAACTACGTAAATTTTTCTATGTATTTTTGCCTCTTGTGCAATTGTAGTCTCCACACCAGAGTTGGGTGCATAATTGTGGTTTTATTAGAAACATAACAAAGCCTTAAGTGAAGGCTTTATTTTGCATTTATTTAATTTTTCTGTGGCTTGGTTGGGATGTTGGGTAAAGGTTTTCTAGTTGTTTTTCATGGCGAGGCAGTTGTTTACGAGGATCAATTTTTCAAGGTTCTTACTTTCAACTCTTGGCCTCAGGTTTTTAGCCTCTGTGACACAATGGAAACCTTAACTCCCAGCCCCTAGCACCTGCACCTATGTCCAACAGATCTCTTGGTTCTTCTGCAGTGCGCTCAAAATTAACTCTCTAGATCTGTCCTTTCCTGTTCATGTCTGACACTTGAGGACTGCTGTCTTTTGATCTTCACTTCCACTTTACATACACATGTCACATGTATGTGCATGTCTTTTTGTTTTAATATTTTATTCAATATGTGTACATATTTTGAGTCAACAGTTTGTATTAATGGAAAATTGCATTTAAATATGATCTTTTAGAACAAATTAAGGAAAAAACATGACAGTGATGTTTCTATACATTTCATATGTATTATTCTTCAGTAATAATTTGGTTTTTAAAATATACTTTGTTTTCTTGGGTACTCTATATTCTAGCGACATTCATTATGAATGAATCTCTTCTCCCTAGTAATTTTCATACATTTATATTTGAGTCATTTATTTACAAATTTTAGGTAAATTCAGAGGTTGTATTGAGTATGATTTAATGGTATGGAGGCTAGTTTTATTTTGAGATAATATTTAGATACTGAAGGACTATTTACAAATACATTAAGAATACTAATTATCCTAAATAAATATCGTGGTAATTATTGACAGTTGTAATTTTCTGATTTTCTTCTATTCCCATAGCAAGCTTGGTGGTTACACCACTAGGAAGACTTGTTTTCCAAATAAGATATAAGAATACTATTTCTTTCCAAAACTTTGGGAGCAGCACTAACTTACTTAAGCAGAAAATGTAACTTTCACTGTCAAATACTTTGTTTACACAGAATAGCAATATCTCTTGTTTTTATCATTGAGTAAATCAATAGCAGTGCAGTCTACAATTATCTGTTGGACTGGAGTGGATAAAGAAGAGCAGCTGAAAGAGTTTATTGACTTGGTAGGAACTATTAAATAGCAAATCAGAATTGTTGAAAGAAATAGCTTTTCAACTGGCTGATTTTAATCTAAGTGTTCAAATGCTTCAAGAATTAACAAGAGAATGGGCTAAAAGGTAAATACAACAAACAGCAAAATTCCCCTCTTGCAGCCTCTCCCACACAATAATTTACTATTAATATTGATAAAACAAAAAAAATAGGCGACAAATTCTGATAATGGTGTAAGAAATAAGAGATTCTGTCTGCTCAGTCTTAATTTGAATATTTCATGTTTGGACTGAAACATGAAATAGTTTAAAAGGTGTCACTTTGTTTAAGTAATGAAAGGTCACTGTTCCATGCCACAGCACTCTGTTCTTTGTTAAGCAGTTTGCCTTGGGAATTTTTAAACATGCATGATAGAAACCGTAGGTATTAGCTATTCAAAGGTGAAATATAACATTGAGAGAGGAAGAAGGGAAGAGAATGAACCTTTGAATATTGCTATTTTTCAACCATACATTAAAATTGTCAACATTAAAGGGGGAGCATCACATAATAAAAATATCAAAAAGAATAACTCATGTAGTTGAACATTTTAATTTTAATCTTCAATTGAAACTTACACCTTTAGGAACAAACGCTGTATCTTGTGTCGTTGGACACCTTGTTAATAAACAGTTGTATTTTCATTCTTGCTTTTTTTGGCAACCTTAATGAAAAGCACAGTAGCTGTTCCTAAAACATTTTGTAAACACAAAGTATGCTTTATCCATAGGAACGGCAAGTTGTCAAAGAATGTGCATTGCCTAAAGAGCGACTAGGTTTTTACTTGTCAATAACATAATTATTTGTATTTAAGTAATGTTTCTTTTATTCAGGTCCCTATATTCTGGAAGGTAAAGCATTCATAAATGTAGTGGAAATAAAATTTTAAAAATTTAAATAGCAAATATAAACAAACACTTCTACACAAGTATATTTGTTTGTTTGCATTCTACAAACTACTTGCTGTAAGTTCAGACTCAAAAACTATGTATTTGATCCATTTATCTATATAGATGTGATTACAGAACAATTTATAGTACCTTACTTCATGGTCATTGAAGAGGCGATAAATGTTGTACATCTTAAGTACAAAAAAGAGGTTAGATTTCACTAGTATGGAAACTCAACTATATGTCATGAAGAAAATCTAAGCAGCAAACTTACAAAAAATGAGGAGTGTTTAGCTTCCAGCACTTATTCTATTATTCAGCCAATGGTCTACACCCATTTAAAATTTTACATTTCATAAACATTACTTATTCTAAATAAATACTATAATTTCTAACACAAAAACAGCATGTTCAAAGGGTTGTGAAGATGTTTCTAATAAACACTTTTGTGTAAATGATAAATTTACCTGCAGAAACATTTCCTGTCCTGATAATGTTTTCCTTTACATAAACATTGGCTCAGTAATGACCATGAATCAGGAATAAATAGCTTTCTTTTTGAAATTCATGTTGACTGTATGAATTCAGAGTGCCCTACTGTGCACTCCATTAGAATTGACCTATGGGTTCCTGTTCTGGAAAGAATGACAGCCCCACCCTATAAATGTCTCAATCCTCTGTTCACAGGAAAGCAATACAGTGTGTCATTTATTAACTGGACATGGTTATTATTATTCTGTTCCTAGGAGGTTAACTTTTTCAATTTTGAGAGAGACCTTGGTATATTGGTATATTATTGCAATTTTTGTTATTCAAAGAATCCTTAATTTCTAGTTGTTTCCTCAAAGAAATCCAAATGGTTAAATTTCAGGACTCCCCACTGTCTGTCATTTGCTCAAATGAACTTACTCTGCATGCAGAGCCCATCCGTGCAGTTCTTGGACTGCAGCACAAGCCCATCGCAGTCCTTGCCTCCGTTCTTGGGAGCTGGGGCTGTGCACTCCCTCCTGCGCCAGTGTGTGCACTCAGTCCCACAGGTAGACCACTTGCTCCACGAGGTCCACCTGCCGTCCACTGTTGTGGGGAAAAATACAAGTCCATGGATGTTACAAAAGAGATGGAAAACATGTGCAAAATGAAGAGTGATGTAAAAATAAACTAAAAAAAAAATGCAGTATCAGGTCAGAGGGAGAAATGGCTGCCTGATGACAGAAGGGAGGGGGGCTGGAAAATAAATGAAACACAGTAAAACTTCAGAAAAGACCCCCGAGAAGAACTCTGCATTCATTTTACATACTAGGCAGTGCATTGTCTATGCATCATCAGATTCTGTGAATTTCCCACCTAGATGGGTGGCTGCTCCCTCACTGACCAAGAGGAGGGATAGCTTACAGGCACACAAAGAAACCAGAACTGTAACCAGGAAAGACATTAAAGTACAGAAAGGGGAGAAGCATGATGAGCTGGTGTGGTGGGCTAAGGGTAACTGGGTGGTGGCTGTGTCTGATAATATCCTAATATTACCTTAATTAAAAATAAGTTTAAAAGATTAGTGAAGCAAATCCTAAATAACAAACCATAAAGAAAACAAACAATACATACTTAAATAAATATGAATCTAACTTAAAATGCAATATGAATGGTATTTCCCAAGTTTCTATTATGGTTTTCAAATTGAAAACTAGGGAACCTGTTTTTGGATCCAAAAATGCTTCCTGCAGAGAATCTTATGAGCAGTACAAGCAAACCTCTGTGCAGGTTGAGAACTAAGTTGGCACAGTGGGGAGAAATAAATATGTCCATCCACTTACTCATCTACCAGTCCATTCTCTTTCTCTCCCTCTAAGAGTATCGTATAGATCTCATATGTTACAGATACATATTGGTAGAAACTATATTAATATAAATATTTTGCATAGTTAAAAATCTATATAGTTTCATATTACAATTATTGTGCAAGTAAGCATGCCTACATGAGAATATGTTGAAAACATTAATATTTCAATCACACAAAGTTAGCAATATAAGCAACTTCCAGCTATTTGGAAAAGAGACATTTTCTTTGATCTAAACCATCCCATATCATGAATGCACATGCACACACACATTTCAATTTGAAGTTAAATGCTCAGTGCATTTATAATTGTGGCCATCAACTCCTAGAGAGTATAAGACAAAATACTAAAACGTTAAGTCCAGCTAAAGGCTAAAATGTGTTCCAAAAATAGTCAAAGATTTAGTGCCTCCATTGTTTTGATTTTTATAAATCAACATACATAAAACTATGGGTTATATATTTCTCTTCAGTTCATTTCATCAATCCAGGTCTGGTAAATATTCTATTAAATGATATACAGGTAAAAGCTGTGCAAAATAAAGGGAAATGTAGATATTCCTAAATATAAAGCTGATAATATAATAACTAGCCCAATTGAGTAAGCTAAGATTTTGGATTTTAAAATAAGTTGATCTTAGCTTTTCCAATAATCATTTTGGTCCTGGAAAATGCTGACTTCAATTTACCTCAGGATAGTAGTTGGTAAAAATATGAGATAAACACAAAGAGCAGCTCAGAGGCAGAACAGCAATAATGCCATGGGCATCACTGCAAATGGCTCACAGAATAGGTGACCAGCAAGTACAGATAATACAGGGCTGAGTGCACTGTTTTCAAAATGTTAGTCCATGAGTAGTCACAAAGCTTTGCCTTCTGATTAATTCATTCCAAATATTTATTCCCCCTTGCCCAGAAACTGACACCAAAAATCAAATGCCAAAAATCAAATATCTCAGTTGAAAACATTTTTGTATTTCATTTCCAATTAAAATTTCCACAGCTTTCTGAAGATCAAAGGCTGTTATTCCTAAGGTGTATGGTTTTCAATACATCTCAAATCCCTTGAATTATAGAACCTATGATCTTGGTTCTGGCAGTTCTGTTGAGCAATAGAGAGGGATTATATTCACAAGTGTTTAATCTCCTGTTGAATACTATTTTGCATGTTCAGTAACAAAATCAAGGAGCTCTTTTGAGGGAAACTACTTGATTTTGGAGGAATGAAAGCATTGCATTTTATGATGGATTTCGATGCTTAGCAAGCATTTAAGTCAAGAATAGGCTTTGTACATACCCCCTAAAACGTTACTTCTAGGGTGGGAAGGTGGGAAGGAGCACTGGGAGTGCAAACAGTGGCTGGCTTACCAGGGCACAGCGTGGTACAGGTGATTTTCTGCACACTCTGCCCTTCACAGAAGGCCCCGCCATTGAGCGGTGCAGGGTTGGTACAGGTCCTCGTGCGCTTCTGATACCCTCGTCCACAGCGGCTGTTACACACAGACCACTCTGTCCACGTGGACCAGCCTCCGTTTACTGGAAGGAGATAAGTAATGAAATGTGGGTTAAATGTGTGCATGCACACGCGGGCACACAAGCCACTCCTCGCACTTCACAAAATCATGAACCTGTAGAATCTCAGCTCAAATTCTCACCTACTCAGAAAAGTAAATATGATTGTGTTTTCCCTTTGGTCAGCAGTACTTTTTTTTTTTTTTTTAAGATTTATTTATTTATGCATACTGGGGTACAGGCTAGAGGTGTGGGGTGGGAGGATGAAAGGATTCACCAGAGACAGAGTGGGGAGCTGAACAGGCCGATGTACTGAAATACATTGCTGAGGGGAACAGTGGGTGGGTCAGAAGAGGTCTGCCACCAATGGAACACCTCTGGTGTTGGGGATCGAACTCACACGGAAGCAACTGCTGCTGGCTTGCAGTTCCGAGCTTTATTTAACATGTGCGCCAACCCGTTGCGCAATCAAGGAGGCTCTTAAAAAACACAAGGCTCTTACCTAGTAAACCTACAAAAATTACATTTGACAGCTTGTCTCGAGTAATAAATGTTTACATCCTCATGCCAAGTATGCAAATAGGTCTCAAGCATGGAACAGAATAAAATCATATTGCCATTTCTTCATAACGTGGTTATTTTTCTTTAGCATATATAAACTTTGAAACTTTTAAAATAATTTTCACTAACTAAACAGAGAATTTGGTTAACAAAGTCCCGTCTTTCTGGATTTTAATAACTGAGCAGTTTTCCGGACTGGTAATTAGTGGATGTAATTGAAATGGGCACCCATCTTGTGTACAAAGCTAATTAAGTATGGTGTTTGATGGAGCTGTCAGTAAGATGTGATTATAAATTCTACTCCCGAAAACTATTTTCTCTTTTTAACTCTGAAGATGTCGCTCTAGAAAATACTCTGATATTTCATACTTTAATAAAATAACTCTGTGGAATTATTAAGTAGTTTCTAATAAAATTATATGACAGCTAAAAAGTTAGCTAAAACAGCACAACCAGTGTGTAGGTTACTCATTACGATTACACAGCCTTACATATGTACATCATTTATGCAAATTTCCTTTTCTAGAACACTATATAGTGATTGTTTTATACATACAGGTACAGGAAAAAATGTTTTTTACAGCAGATTTTTTTTTTAATGTAAAGGTAAACATTTGAAACAACTTTGTTGGCACAACAGGAAACAACAGGAAAATGGTAAGGCATATATGTTTATGTGATTGACTTTTAGTCAGTCATTAAAAGTGATATCATAGAAGTCTATTTAATAATACATGAATATGTCAGTATTATGTTTTTAAGTACAAAAAAAAAAGATTTATAGCCCTTATTTTAAAATCCTATTTATGCATAGAAAATACCAGTAGTATACACATCAATCTTTTTAAAAGCTATCTCTGGGTGACAGGATGACAGAATTATAGATATTTTCTTTCTCTGTCCTTTTCTGTGTTTTCCAAATTTCCTCTAATGGATACATGTTTGCAGTCTGAAAGTGATATTAACAAATATAAATATATATACAATGGACTCAAACTGGTTAAATGTATATGTTTTCCGGCAACCTATGAGCTGACTGAACTTATTTTATGAGGCCATGGGAAGGACAAGTAGATTGCTGATAGGTAGAATTGCAAGTTGTTTTCTGAAAATAGCAAAAAAGAAAACAACAACAACAACAAAAAACTTAACCTTATCAATTTTACAAAACTCCAAATGTCATGGAGTTGTCAGTCTAAATTGCTTATTAGCAGACTGGCAAGTTGATACGAGGTTTATAGCATATATGTACTACTCTGCTGTGATTTGTGAGAAATGAATAATTATAAACTTTTCAGAGACAGAAAACCTTTGAAGATCCTTGGCTTATTTCCTCATTTCATGAAAAATACAAGAATTCCTAGTATTATGGCTAAGCAACCAAGTTCAGTTAGAAGTAGAACTAATCTTAGAACACAAAACCTCTAAGCTAATGGTGTTTTTTGAACTAAAAAATGCTTGAGTTACTCATTTTTGATCCTTTCTACAGTATTCAGCATGTATTTATGGACACTGAAAGAATACTATAAATAGGAAAAGATATTTGCATGTATATTAAATGTCTATACAATACATCTATATACAGTGTGCCTTCACCAGTTATTTATGATAGTACATTCTATGATTACGCCCCATTTCTCCTTTGAATTGCCAAAGCTGTTAATCAAGTCATCCAGACAGTTTAGAAAATATAGTAAGCAAGAAACATTTTATTGTGACTTACAAAAGACAGTGCTTACAATTCAACATAGCCATTATCTTGACTAGGAAATTAGGCCTCCGAGTATTCAGACAATTTAAAAAAAATAACATGCATCTGTTCTATCAAGAAAATGGCAGTTTTAATGCATCAATATATTTGGCCTTTGTAACATCACAGTGGTTTCTGTTCTCATAACTCCCTGCAATATGAGGATACAACTGTCCAAGTGGTAGAAAGTACTATGAGCTGGACACCTGCTCAGGGCTGTCCCTCCTTATAGTCACTCTGACAATCAGGAATCTGGAGTGTCATATAACACTGAGGCAGCCATTTAAAACTTTTTTAAATTCAAATAGTGGTCTTATCAATCAGGAGGTCAAAATACTTCCCAGGGTTGTTCAGTTTCCTTTGAGATGTTAAATCAAAAATAAATCAAGAATATCTGATGTGCCTAGGAGAATACTTGTGAACACTATGAGAAATACATATATCCAAAAGAGGCTGTCTGCCTACAATTAGAGCTGAAAGCTTAGTTGTAGAGAGATCTGTTATTGAAGTGACTAGAAAACTACCTATGCTAAATTTTGCAGGAAAGGAAAGTCACCATGTGCCAGAGCAAAATGGGGTGGAAAATTGTTTAGTAGTTTGGGAGAAATAATAGCTGAGAGAGGAGAGGTGTTAGAAAGAGCCAGAAGTGTGAAGTATCTCGAAGACGTCTTGATGCTGAGGTTAGGGTAGAAGACACGTGGGACAAGTAGGCACTCACTCTGAGAGCCCCTGATGGAGTGTGCAAAGCAAGTCCAGGTATTAAAGTCCCATAATGCGCATGAGGAAAGGTCAATTTCACTTTTCCTGAGGCTCTGTGGTCACTGAACTGAGCCAAAGCCCAAAGAAATAGCAGCAGGTTGGATTTAAATATCTTCATTTGTCAGTTTTCACTAGGCTTTAATTCTGGTGGTGAGGCGTGCTGAGGGGAGGGCTTGGAAAGCTGGGACAGCTGATGTGCTTAGCAGTAGATTTCCTTCTCTTTCCTATAAACCGACTAAGTCTAGGAACTGCCAACACTAGTCTTTCTTGCATCAGGAAAGCAGTGAAATCTCACTAGACACATGAAAAGCTAGAGAACAACCAAGGGTTTTGAAAAGGTTTCTCTTTGATGTTTTAGAATGAAACTGAGAAACTGCAGTTGACATGAATTCACTGGAGATGCCAATGCTCACTCACCATAGACTATAACAGTTGCAGTTGTGCTTTTCCTCTTGGCAACAATGTTTTTGGCCACACAAGTATAGTTTGCTGTGTCAGAGAGGCGGGCCTGCTTTATGATGAGGTTGTGATCAATAGTAATATAGAAATTCCGATCTTCCACAGGATCAATTATGTCTTCATTTTTCAACCATTCCACCTAAAGATGCACAAGAGAAATAGATAAATCCCCAGTATGGCTCCCTTGCTAGTTGATTGTTCTAACTTGTGTTTTGCAAAAGGGATAATATTACCCTATGGACTTCTGCAAACAGGGAGGAAAGAACTTTCTGAGGTCAGGTTAAGTATCACTCACCTGCCAAACACACTGATTCTGTCTGTACTACATTATTTTCAAATGCCAATGAACCAATTGGGAAATACAGTGCTCAAATTGTTTTTACTTTGCCCTGCAGCAGGAGCAGCGAGTGTGCCCTGCCAAGTTCAGAACCCAATCAAAAATAATAGGGTAAGCATTTCAAACTGAATTTAAACCTTTGGCTATTTGATTTGTTTACTTTTGGCAACTTACCTGGTGTGTTACAAGAAAAGAATACAGTACTATTTAAGAAGCTCAAATGACATCTTAGAGATCATATAGTCCTAATAAAACATTTGGACGACTGATGTAGCCTTGCTTAAATACATGGATTAAATTTCCCTGAAATGTGCTTACTTTAAAATGTAGCAAACACATACTGGAGACATAGCTAAGCCAAAATACATGGGAAAATGAGAGGTTTTCTAACTCTCGATACAATGCTCAAATCACTCCTTTTGCATCTCACTAGCATCAAATTTTTGGTTCTTGATTTGCTTCTAGAAAATTCAACCTAAGAAATAACCATTCAAAACTGTTAAACTATTTTCCCATGCAAATAATATCAATTTAGCAGTGGTTATGTTTTTTATACAGCGTGAAAAGAGGGAAATATATCAGTCCCTACAAAGAAATAACTACTTATTGTCCTGAAAATTGTTCTTGCTCTTTTTGCTATGCAGTTGTTTCCATTAAGCACAACAATTTTGATATTCATCACCCTTTAATTTTCCTTCCACATTATTGTGCATATGCATGCAAGTAACCTTTAGAGATGGAGTCAATAGTTTCATTACTTTCAAAAATCTTAAGGAGCTTCTCCAGCACCACAAGAGGCCTGGAAATTAATCTCTAAACCTGCCAGCAGCTTGATGTTGTATAGCTCTAAATTATGTCGAATGCAGGGACTCTGAAATAATGCTCTTCTATTCCTTAGAGGGAGTTCCACAATTTAAAGAGAAAAGCAACACCTAGCAACAGTCCTAAAATAAAGGTATGAGGATAAAAGAAACTATTTAGTAGAAGGTAAATTAGTCAACTGCTCTCGGTATTTACACTAAAGGTAGTGAGGAAGAGAATATAATCCATTTCAAACTGTGGAGTTTTAAAACATCTATTTTGTTTTCAAATACAGACTGCATATCGATTTAGGACTATGTTTGGATATATTTGATCAGATGCTGGTATTCAGTTGATCTAAATTTTCTCAAAATTTGTCTTATGAGTGCAGTAAATACAATGGTGCTCAAAGTACATAGATGAGGGGAGGTAGAAAAATTTACATGTTAGAAATATACTCCATGAAAATTGAAAGCTGACATTAAAAACTTTTGAATATAATATTTGCCTAGCTATCTACACCCTTCTAAATGCAGCTTTCCATTTAAGAAGGCAGTCCTGGGTGCCCTTAAAGTGATCTTGAGTTCTACTTTTTTCTTAAGTTTGCTGTGGTTTTCTTTCAAAGACTCACAAATTCTACTCTTATTTGAAAAGTAGGGCCAGGCTCCTGGATACTACTTGGATTTGCCTCTGGATTCACTGCTTCCTTTGCCACTGTTTTATTGGTGTGAAAACAAGTCTCACCAATCAGGTGAGACTCTTGAGTTGTTATTCTGTAGAATTACTCTGCAGGATCAGGTTGGAACCACCTTCATGAGATTTTGCCTGAATCTGTTCCCTTCAGCTTACTCATCTGCCTGTAAAACTCTTCTGGGAGAGTTACTATAAGAAAACACTTCATCCAGACTTTTATCTCATGATTTGATTCTGAAGAACAAGATATAAGTTGTGAGTTAAATCAAACTATATTTTTTATGATGTGGATAATCTTGGTTACAACAGAGATACTTTTCTGAGCATAAAGAACAATGTGACTCAAAGATTATCACAAATATGATTTTAAGAAGCTTATTGCATGGAAATAGAACAATTTTTTGGTTAGTTAACAAAAGACTGAAATAGTGTGGTTATTTGTTGTATGACCTTTACTTTCAGCTTTACTAGTATCTCTACCTCTGTCTGTCTTTCTGTCTGTCTATCTATCTAGTCTTTCATCAGCATTGGCAGTGAGTACAGCTTGAGAATCTAGGAACCCAGAGAACTGGGTGGCACTCTGGGCCTCTGAGGGATACTATATTCCTCCCTTATCTTCAGTTTTAGCCACAGAAACTTAATCTGATTTCCACACTGAGCTCCCCTATATGCCTTTGTTTGAAGAACCAAATGGTGATGAGGATAGGAAATCAGTATAGGATCTTTATGCTCTTAACTTCTGTCAAGATACTCCCATTCCTTGTGTCCCAGTATTCCATTGCAACAACTCCCTATCTGAGACCTTTCCCTCACAGAAACTCAGGTCCAACTGCAAGTCACAGCTTAATTCTTGAAGTAGAACCCTCACTATGCCCTTTGCACCCCCATCTCTTATCCTCCAGAGTCTGGCAACCTTTCTATGCTGCCTTAGAATACATCGGCAAAATCTTCCAAAATTCTGACCTGTTTTTAAATTGTTTTCTTCACTTTTCTCTACTAAATCCTGGATTTTATTACTATTTCACTATGCTCTCCAAACATCTATCTTATAACTATCAAGTCATTAAATTATACCATTTTTTGAAGTTATCTCAGAGCTCTAAGTTCACAGCTACCTTATCCAACACAATTTCTGATGATTTTAATAAGTACAAAGGCAATGCTTTCAACTTTCAGCTTCTCAGCTCCATAACCATCCCTCCTGCCATGATCTGGGTCTATAAGTCACTAATACTCGTCTTTGATATTCTAGGCCAGAGGTTTTTTTATCTTGTTTTTACTGTAGAATTATGTGGAGAACATCTAAACTCAACCCAAATAAACTAAATACAGCACAGAGACCCTCTGATTCACTGATCAAGACTGGTTTACTATCAGTAAATCTTTTTTTATCTAAAAAAAATATTTATTTATGCATACAAGAACTGAGGTATAAGCCAGAGGTGTGGGGGAGGGGGAGGTGCTGAAAGGATTCACCAGAGACAAAGACGGGAGCAGAACAGGCAGTACATTGCTGAGGAGAACAGCAGGTGAGACAGAAGAGGTCTGCTGCACCATATGGGTCATCTCCCTGGTGTGTCAAGTATCGAGTTTGTGCTGCAGTGGCTAGAAATAGCTTGATAGCATTGTCTTGAGCGTTGGTGCCACCAGGGAGGCCCAACATCACTAAATCTTAAACTTCCCAAGAGATTGTGATTTATTGCTGGGGTTGAGAAATTCCACTTTCAACAATTATCTTTCAAGTGAGACTTCTAGAACAACATCTATGTCACCTTGATAGAAATGCATACTTTCAGGTTCTGTTCATCTGGACTTACCAATTTAAAATCTGTGTCATAACAAGTATTTCAAGGGACTTATATGTACATTTGTTTAATGTTTCTGGACCCAATTCCAAAGTTAGCATATGGGGCTTCTTCACAACAATAAGAAATTCTCAAATACCAGCAGAGTGTCTAAATACTCAATTTTGACACTATTTATCCGGAGATAGCATCAGACACCACAAATTAAAAGCCTATTTTGCCCTTCACTCAGATGCTATTGGCAAGTCCAACCTTTTCTTGTGTTTCTGATTAATTGTCTATATATCAAAGCTTCTTATTACCCCTCCTTCTCAGGTTTGATTAATCTGAGTGGCTCACAGAACTTGGGATGTCTGTTTACTCAGTAGGACAATGATTTATTACAAAGGTTATATTCAAGATCTACCAGATAGAAGAGATGCATAAAGAAATGTATGGTCTACAGGTTCTCAGTTGGGAGAGGGGAAAAGGAACTTCCTTGTTTCTCTTCTGGGAGAAAAAAAATCCAGGTGGGCACTGAACTCAGAGGCATATGTGACATGAGGTGAAGTCAGGAGAATATCTCCTGGACACAGGAGACCAATTATGACCACACATGACAGAAGAGACGCTTAGAAAATTCAATCCTAAACAACAAAGTGTGAATGGTGTGGCAGAGGATCTTGGAGAAAGCTTCCAGGGCAGAAACTATGGTTCAACCCTTCCATGATAAGGTGGTCATAGGTAGGGTAGAGATGGTTAATGAGAGCCAAGTTGTGGGAAGATATATCCAAAGTTTTGGGGTGATCCAGGTGGAATGAACTCCCAATGAAGAAGATAAAGTTCAGAATGCTATGACTCTGCCCCCACCCCCACTTCCCTGTCCTGCTGACCTAGCAAAGTGGAACTTGAAAACATCAAAGTGAAGTGACAGTGAAAACTCTGCATATAAACTGCAAAAACTCTGCCTGTAAACTGCAGACATGGAGGTCTGATATCCAGAGAGGAGAGCTAGCATTGGTATCACACGCATGAGCTGTGATGGATTCTTTTAGGACTCCTCCATCCTCAGAAAAGGAAGCTATAGATTAGTTCTCCCTGAAATACCATCTAATGGCAAAGTGGAAGCTCTCCACACTTAAGGTTGCCTAATATATAATGACATAAAAAGTAATAATGGGAAGATGGAATTATACAACAAATGGCAGCCAGAGTCCTGAAGGCATAATTTACCACATAGAGAGAACAAAAACCTGGAAGAGTTTTTCTTCTTACTAGATAAAGAGTTCAAAATTGACTTCATACAGAAATATACAAAAAATGGAAGAAAACACAGATAAATTGATTAAGATCTCTAAGAAACTCATAAAAACAAATGAATGTCTCAGAAAGAAATTTAATGAAAGGAGATATAAACTGTAGCCTTAAATAAGAAAATAATGGAGGTGCAATATGTAAAAAAAAAAAATCAGTAAAAGAGATTAAAAAATTCTGGAAGAAGTTATGGAACTTGAACAAATAAAA